TGCAATGAATGCTAAATTTATCTCCACGTTGTTTAATAGAATTGCTCTTAAACTCAGTGTAAAACTGCTTTCCTACTATCTTGTTTATTTTTGAAATGCAACTGTACTTAGAGTTAAAATATTCTTATTGTAGAAAATTTAGAGAATAAAGCCCCACATAAAGATGAAAGTGAAAATCACCTGTATTCTTCCCACTCAAAAAGATTTCCCTTTATAAATGTCAAATTTCCCTCTATTGTTTTGCTCTTATATATATCATTAAATACTCTTCAGCCTGTCATTATAATCACTCCCTCAGAAGTGCTTTCAACCACCCCTCATCTTCGCCTCATTGCACGTGTCTAGCCAAACCTCAACCCTCTTCATCTCTGCACCTGTGTCTGTTACTGGAAACTATTAACTGAACCGTTTCCTTCATTTGATGATCTAAGGCCTCCACAGGCATGCACTGTGACCCAGAAACCTTCCTGTGTTTCCCAGAACTATTCATATGTTCTCCTCAAACCCTCCCCCAACCCTTCCCTCTTTAGTCCTCACTGGGCTATTGACCTTGTTCCACACTTCAGTGAAGTAAAAACCTTCAGATGATAACTCTAACATTCCTGATGAAAACGTAACAAAAACTTATCTACAGTTAGTGCCCCCCTTCTTTCCTCCTGGCGCAATGGAGGGCATTTTCTTTCTCGTAGCAAAGTCCAGTCCCTCCCCTTCTCTGCATCCAATGCTCTTTGACCTTTTAAAACACTTCACTCTGTTTATCTTCTCTCTTTTCTTTTATCAACTTCCCCTTATCATCTACTGGATCATTTCTGTAACCATATTCTAATTTACCAACCCTATCTTAAAAACAACACCAACAACAAACACAGTCACTTCTTTGGTTCCCTGTCTCCCTGAAGGTACCATCCATTTCTGTATTATTCTGCATTGCCAGACTTCTCAAGAGTTGTTAACTAGATGAGTTCTGCTTTTTTAACTCATTTTTTTTTTTTTAATTCCAGTCTGGTTGCTCTCCAGCCCCATCACTGTACTAAAATTTCTTGCCTCAGGGTCACTGGAAATCCACATAGCCACATGCAATGTACACTTCTCTGTCTTCATCTTACCCTTTCAGCAGCATTGGGTGGAGTGGACCATTTGTTTCTTGAAATACTCTTCCCTTGGTTATCATCAGGCCATTGTTTCTCTGCTTTCCAAACTCACTGGCTTCTCACAGCTAGCTCTTCAGCCAGCTTCTATTTCTCCTTTTAAGTGTTGACAGTACTGGGTCCTCTTCTCTTCTCCTGTTACCGTTTTTCACTGGGTGATTCCATTAATTTGCAGCTTTAAAAATCTCATTAGGACTCAAGACTCCAAAGTTTATACCTTCAACCCATTTTTTTCTGAGCACCATATCTGGCTCTGCTTACTTGACAGTTCAACCTGGATGTCCTACAAACATCTCAAATTAAACATGTCCAAGATAGAACTTCTCATTTCCCCTCCATGAATCAATTCCTCCTCTATCTGTCCTATGCCAATAAATGGCAGCATTATCCATCAGTTGCCCAATTCAGAAATCTGAGTCAGTCCCGATTTTCCCTTTCCCATAACTCCCATATATCAGGTGCAGCAACCCCATTTGATTGTTCCCCCTAAAACATCTTGACTGTCAACTTTTCTCTGTCTCCATGGCGAACAGACTGGCCATGGCTCATCCTTCACCTGTACTATGTCAACACCTCTTTGATGGGTCTTTCAATTCATACTTATTCTCTACAATCCATTTTCCACATTATGAGCAAGAACATAAATTAAACCTTACATTAAAACTTCAGTGGCTTTCATTACATGTGTAATAAATCCAAACTCTGTACAAGGGCTGGATGGCTCTACAGATCCTGTCTCCCGATATCTCTCCAGCCTCAGGCTAAGCTACTCCCTACACCAGAGTCACTCTTACTCAAACACACTTAAATCTTCCTGCCTCAGGCTGTTTGTATCTGCTGTACCCTCTGCTTAAAATGCTTTTCTCCCTGCTATTGCCATGTGTGACTTCTTATCCATAGGAAATCAGCTTAAATATTGTCATGTTGAAGCTTTTTCTTTTCTTTTTTCTTTTTTTTTTGAGACAGAGTCTCGCTCTGTCACCCAGGCTGGAGTGCAGTGGTATAGTCTTGGCTCACTGCAAGCTCCGCCTTCCAGGTTCAAGGGGTTCTCCTGCCTCAGCCTCCCGAGTAGCTGGGACTACAAGTGCACGCCACCATGCCCAACTAACTTTTGTATTTTTAGTAGAGAGAGGGTTTCGCCAGTTTGGCCAGGCCGGTCTCCAACTCCTGGCCTCAAGTGATCTGCCCGTCTCAGCCTCCCAAAGTGCTGGGATTACAGGTGTGAGCCTGGCCCACGTTGAAGCTTTTTCTGACTGGTGTAATTAAAGTATGTCTCCCTCAGTTATTTTCTATTTTATCTTCTTGATGATTATATTCATAGACATTTTCACACTATATAAATATTTATGATAATCATGTGTTGCTTAATAACAGGAATATGTTCTGAGAAATGCATCTTTGTCATTGTGCGAACATTACAAGTGTATTTACACAAACCCAGATGGTATAGCCTACTACACACCTAGCCTATGTGGTATAGCCTATTGCTCCTGGGCTACAAACCTGTACAGCATGTTACTGCCCTGAATACTGTAAGCAACTGTAACACAATGGTATTTATGTATCTAAACATAGGAAAGGTACAGTAAAAACATGAAATAATCTTAGGGGACCACTGTTGTACAAGTGGCCTGTCTGGAATGTCAGTATGTGATGTGTGGCTGTATTTGTTTGTTTGTTTGTTTTTTCTGTTTTCCATACTGAATGTGTTATAGGAAAGGGGTCTGGATCCAGACCCCAAGAGAGGGTTCTTGGATCTCGCACAAGAAAGAATTCAGGGCAAGTCTGCAGTGCCAAGTGAAAGCAAGTTTAAGTAAAGGAATAAAAGAATGGATACTCCATAGACAGAGCAGCCCCAAGGGCTGATGGTTGCTCATTTTTATGGTTATTTCTTGATGATATGCTGAACAAGGGGTGGATTATTCATGCCTCCCCTTTATAGACCGTATAGGGTAACGTCCTGATGTTGCCATGGCATCTGTAAACTGTCATGGCGCTGGCAAGAGTGTAGCAGTGAGGACGACCAGAGGTCACTCTCGTCGCCTTTTTGGTTTTGATGGGTTTTGGCTGGTTCCTTTACTACAACCTGTTTTATTAGCACAGTCTTTATGACCTGTACTTTTGCTGACCTCTGATCTCATTCTGTGACTTAGAATGCCTTAGCCCTTTGGGAACGCAGCCCAGTAGGTTTCAGCCTTGTTTTACCCAGCTCCTATTTAAGATGGAGCTGCTCTGGTTCACACGCCTCTGACAAATCTAATCTTCGTGAGAGTCGAGAATATATTATTCACTTTCAATTCTTAGTGTTTAGCTTAGTGTCTGGCACATGGTACACTGTAATCATTTGTTGTATTAATAAAATAATTCGACATTATTGTTTTTAGTGGCAAACGTTTTCTGAGTTCTTACTGTTTACAGACCCAAGCCTGGTTCTTGAGAATACACTGTTGAATAAGACAACCTGGTCCTGTTTTCAAGGTGCTCCCATCTACCAGAGGGTACAATTGTGTACCTAGGCAGATACAAAATAAGCATGCTTTTGTACAAGTAGATTCAAAATCATATAATGCAATTAATTTTATAGGAGAAGTATAGAGCACTTTTGGATGAAAGAAAAAGGACACCTTGGGGCCACATTTATTTTAATAAAACTCTCATTTGACACAGACTCCTTCCAATTTTTTACTATTTTATACATCTTTATAGATGTATATTATGTATAATCTATACATAGTCCCTAGAATGGAATCTTAGGACTTAGTGGGTCAATGGTCATTAAATAATTTTGAAACTTGGGATTTCACTGCCAAGTTTTGCTTTTCTAATATTAAGTGGCATGTTTCCTATTTTCAAAGTGTTTTTGCCATCATTGACATCATCATAATTGAAAATTTGACAGTTTGTATGAGAAAATAGTGTCTCATTATTTTAATTTTAACTGCAATGATTATTAGTGAAGTAAAACTTCTCTTGAACCTGTATTTGCCGTTTTGTATTTGTTTCTCAGATTGCTTCATGTTCTTAACTTATCTTTATATTAAGGGGTTCATGTTTTCCTTGATTTATAACATTTCTTTATATGTTATAGAAACAATGACGTTATGATATATGACTTGATTATATCATTATATATGATAATGCTAACTTCATTATCATATATGATCTAAGTATATTTTCCCAGCTCTTCATTTACTTTTAATTTTTGTTGTCTTTATGTTTTTGATGTTGAAGGATTACATATTTAATCTTTTAAATATCAAAGTTTTAGTTTAGAACTTCTTAGAAAGACTTTTTCTGCCTAAGATTATGAAAATAATCATCCATCACTTCTAGCACTTACCTGTTTTCATTTTTTTCATGGCTGAAAATTGATTTTGGTGTAAAAAGTAAAGTGGAAATGCAGGTTAATTGGTTTTTCCAAAGAACATTGCTCTTTACACACTTTTTCTCCCTAATTTGACCTACTAAAATTATTTGAGTATAGATGGGAAACGTCAATTTTTAGCTACGCAAAGACCACTCCTGAATGGTTGTTATTCATTTTCCATGCTCTTTGGTGGAATGTTTGGCATATGACTGAGTTACAAATAATGGAAGCAGGCTGAAGTCATAGGTATAACTTCCAGAAAGTATACTTGGAGGGTAGGGATTGTGCATCTTTCTCCTTTTTCCTTTCTGCAGGGTAAATTCCAGGCATCATATTTTTAGCTGGAGAATCCATATTGGCGAAGGACCACACACACTAGGATAGCAATGCAGAAAGCTCAGCATATCTGGGGTCCCCAGTGACTCTGTGGAACTTCTACGTCCGCCCAGACCGCCTGCTTCTGACTTTCCCCCGCTTTTTTTTCATGTCAGATGTTTAATGTGCCAATGATGGAACAAGGTTTGAGGCAGGCACATCTCACACATGAACGTGAAAACCCAATCATCGCACTTACAAACCACAAAATGGTCTACCTCTGGATTTTTTAGAATAAGAAATCAAAACCACAGGTTTTAAAGCCACTATTAATTTAGTTTATCTTAGCTGTTTCAATATCATGTTATTTAATAGTTTGTATTTTTACTCTACTTCGCAGTTTTTATTGTCTTATATTTTCTGAATTTGAGCCATATTTTGTTTCAGTTTCTCATGACTTGGAAGTTACATAGCCTCCTCAGAGTCTTCTAGTAATTGACTTTAAATTTTAAAGATACATTCTTTAACACATTTTTCTGATCATGTGTCCTCATTTGAAATAGCATGATAAATATATTGCACTTCTATTTTTGTCTTCTACCATGCTGGATTTTGCTAATACAACCCATGTAATTACTCTTAAATTATTTATAATCATTTCATATATTTTTTCTTTTTAAGTTTACTTTGTATCATTTGTATTTGTGTTTGTAATAATGCTTATTTAGACTAAATTCACCACAGGAATAATTTCAGTTCTTGATACTATTTATTTTCTAATACAGTGCTCTCAGGCTTGTGATCTTAATTTTTCTTTCCATCTTTTTTTTTGTCTTTGAGACAGGGTTTTACTCTGTTACTCAGGCTGGTGTGCAGTGGTGCAATCTGAGCTCACTGCAACCTCCACCTCATGGTTCAAGCAATTCTCAGGCTTCAGCCTTTGGAGTAGCTGGGATTACAGGGGTGCACCACCACACCAAGCTAATTTTTGTATTTTTAATAGAGGGGATTTCACCATGTTGACCAGACTGGTCTCGAACTCCTACCCTCAAATGATCTGCCCACCTCGGTCTTCCCAAGTGTTGGGATTACAGGCATGAGCCACCGTGCCTGGCCTCTTTCTTTCTTTTCTTAAAGACATTTTTAGGGTAATTTTTTTTTTTCCCCAAGAAAGGTATTATTATAAGCCCTTATATAAGATCTTAGGTGTTTATAAATATTTTTCCTGTTGTCTGAATTGAAAATTCTTAGTTTCCACATTTTTTTTCCTTTAAACTCTGTAAACATTTCATGTGTGTGTATATTTAAAACTTAATTCTATACAGAAGTATAAGATCATCTTGACTTCGTTTTTTCTTAGTGACCAGGTGTTTTCCAAGTGAATGTTTACACGATATCGTTCTGTTTTGTAGTTATAGTTTCAGAATGTTTTATGTGTAATTTATATGTTCATCTGTTTATTTTGTGGATCATGGGGAGTGAGTCTTTTTGCTTGCACAGTTAAGACTTTTTCAGCTTAAAAGCATTTTCTTTGTTCCTGATTTTGGTTATTGCTTTGCTTGTATTATCTTGGTATTCTCCTAAGAAAGACACTAAATTATTTATTTGGCTTTCCAAACTCTCCTTCAAGATCATCTTCTTGCTCATCGCTTGTATCTTTGTTTTTACCTTCTCTTTTAAAAGGTTCTGAAATTTGCCCTCCACCAGATGCCTTTGATTTGTCGTAGTGACATCTGCTTTGCATGTGCTCTTTTACCCTGCTATTAGCCTTTCAGTCTCTCTCCTCTGACCCTTCCTGCGCACTTTTAGTAAGTAGTGTGTTGTTATTATGATTTTAAAATCTCAGCTTGAGTTTAATTTAATTTCATCTTTTCATCTCTTCTTGAGTTCATGTCAACCTATTCACTTTCTGTGGCTCTTTGAAGAAGCCAGGCTGTCTTGTGGCTCGTTGAAAGCACCTAGTTTCCTAGAGCTTAATTCTGGTTCTTTCGGTAGATAATTCTCAGAGATTGGCTCTGTCTCTGAGTCTATAGTTGTTGTTCCCTTTTTCCTAGTCTCATATTGTTTGCAAGGCCTCAAGCTCTCTTTTTAAAATTTTAATTAAATTTAATTTTAAGTTCCAGGATACATGTGCAGGACATGCAGGTTTGTTACATAGGTATACATGTGCTATGGTGTGTGCTGCACCTATCAACCCATCACCTAGATATTAAACCCCTCACACATTAGCTATTTATCCTGATGCTCTCCCTCCACCTCCCCCACTCCCCAAACAGGCTCCAGTGTGTGTTGTTCCCCTCCTAGTGCCCATGTGTTCTCATTGTTCAGCTCCCACTTATAAGTGAGAACATGGAGTGTTTGGTTTTCTGTTCCTGTATTAGTTTCCTGAGGATAATGGCTTCCAGCTCTATTCATGTCCCTGCAAAGGACATGATCTCTTTCCTTTTTATGGTTGCATAGTATTCCACGGTGTATATGTACCACATTTTCTTTATCCAGTCTATCATTGATGGGCATTTGGGTTAATTCTATGTTTTTGCTGTTGTAAATGGTGCTGCAGTGAACATACACATGCATATACCTTTATAATAGAATGATTTATATTCCTTTGGGTAGATACCTAATAATGGGATTGCTGAGTCACATAGTATTTCTGGTTCTAGGTCTTTGAGGAATTGCCACACTGCCTTCCACAATGGTTGAACTAATTTACATTCCCACCAACAGTGTAAAAGTGTTCCTGTTTCTCCACAGCTTCACCAGCACCTGTTGTTTCTTAACTTGGAGAATCATCATTCTGACTGGTGTGAGATGCTGTTTCATTGTGGTTTTGATTTGCATTTCTCTAGTGATGTTGAGCTTTTTTCATATGTTTGTTGGCTGCAAAAATGTTCTGTTTTGAGAAGTGTCTGTTCATGTCCTTTGCCCAATTTTTAATGTTTTGTTATGTTTTTTTTTTTTTTTTTTTTACATTTGTTTAAGTTCCTTGTAGATTCTGGATATTAGACCTTTGTCAGATGGTTAGATTGTAAGAATCTTCTCCCATTCTGTAGGTTTTCTGTTTACTCTGACAGTTTTTTTTTTTTTTTTTTTTCCTGTGCAGAAGCTCTTTGGTTTAATTAGATCCCATTTATCAACTGTAGCTTTTGACGTTTTCGTCATGAAATCTTTGCCTGTGCCTATGTCCTGAATGGTATTGCCTAGATTTTCTTCTAGGGTTTTTATAGTTTGGGGTATTAAATTTAAATCTTTAATCCATCTTGAGTTAATTTTTGTATGAGGTACAAGGAATGGGTCTGGTTTCAGTTTTCTGCATATGGCTAACCAGTTTTCCCAGCACCACTTATTAAATAGGGAATCCTTCCTCCATTGCTTGTTATTGTCAGGTTTTTCGAAGGTCAGATGGTTGTAGATGTACAGTCTTATTTCTGAGATCTCTATTCTGTTCCATTGGTCTATGTGTCTGTTTTCATACCAGTACCATGCTGTTTAGGTAATCGTAACCTTATAGTATAGTTTGAAGTCAGATAGTGTGATGCCTCCAACTTTGTTATTTTTGCTTAGAATTATCTTGGTTATACGGGCTCTTTTTTTGGTTCCATATGAATTTTAAAGTAATTTTTTTTTTTCTAATTCTGTGAAGAATGGCAATGGTAGTTAAATGGGAATAGTTCTGAATCTACAAGTTACTTTGGGCAGTATGACCATTTTTGTGATATTGATTCTTCCTATCCATGAGCATGGAATGTTTTTCCGTTTGTTTGTGTCCTCTCTGATTTCCTTAGCAGTAGTTTGTAATTCTCCTTAAATAGGTCCTTCACTTCCCTTGTTAGCTGTATTCCTAGATATTTTATTCTCTTTGTAGCAATTGTGAATGAAAGTTCATTCATGAGTTGGCTCTCTGCTTGTCTATTGTTGGTGTATAGAAATGCTTGTGATTTTTGCACATTGATTTCTTATCCTGAGACTTTGCTGGAGTTGCTTATCAGCTTAAGAAGCTTTTGGCCTGCCCAAGCCCTTTTTTTTTCTTCCTTAGTCATAAAGGAAAAAATGATCTAGATTTGGCATCTTCCATAGAAAAGAGGAATAGGTATGTTTGCCTTTCTCACATGGATAGCCGAAGGCGAGTCTTTATGTGTAGTCCCATCTAAAGTGTCTAGGAAGCTCCCATGGACGTGGTGCTGGCATACTGAAGTGGGATCTTCTACTCCTGCTTGATTTTCTGACCTTCTGAGAGTGACATGCTAAAAACTGAAATCTCCAGCATGGTCTGCCACTGGAACCTTCATTCTTGCCCTGCCTGCCCCACAGTGCTTAAAATATTAGAATAATATTGCTATTGCTTAAGAAAGAATCACTTCTGCTGGTGCCAATGACTCGCTGTTTCTTGAAGGAGTTACAAGTTTTGAAAACGTGCAGGAAAATGATGAAGTAGAAACATTCTGATCACCTCAAAACAGTACCTGTTAAGTAGCAAAGCCACAGCTTTTTTTTTTTTTTTTTTTTTTTTTTTTTTTGTGGTTATTAGCTAGGGCAGACTGATATGGACATTCAAGATGCCATTCACCTTATTTGGACAAAGCTGTATGGACTACAGATTGATTTTCACAATTCCACTCCACCTAATTCATAATTAGAAATTCTAAAGCCAGGCGTGGTGGTTTACACCTATAATCCCAGCACTTTAGGCGGCTGAGGCAGGAGAACCACTTGAGCCCAGGAGTTTGAGACCAGTCTGTGCAATATAGCACAACCTAGACTTTACCAAAAAATCAAAAAATTAGCCAGGTATGGTGGCGTGTGCCTGTGATCCCAGCTACTTGGGAGGCTGAGGCAGGAGGATCCTTTGAGCCCAGAAGGTTGAGGCCACAGTGAGCCCTGATCATGCCACTGCAATCCAACCTCAGTGACAGAGCAAGACCTTGTCTCAAAAAAAAAAAAAAAAAAAAAAAAATTCTGACAGTAATTAGAGTGTTACTCTTTGCCTTTATAAAGCGTTTTAGCAAGACTTTGGAGGGGGTGCTGCAGGAGGTGTTAACTGGGCACCCTTTAAACAGGAAAGTCCTCGTGATGTCACTTCTGGATTAAAAGATATGCATATGTAATTGACATTTCTTGCACATTCATAATTTGCCAAGTACCATGCCCACTGCTTGATAAATATTATCTAACTTAATCTTTATAATGACCCTATGAAGTCAATGTTATATGGTTTCTGTTTGCAGATGAGACACTGGGTTAGGAGGGTCAAGTAACCTTCCCAAGGTCATTGTA